GTCAAAGGAAGCATTTCAGGCTGACTCCTCTCCATCCTTGCCTCTTAACCTATCTTGCAAGTTTGCTGAGAAAGAAACAGCTCTCCTGATTTCCACCCTGACAATTTCCCAGGCACAGTCACTGTACTTCTTCTCCTCCAGGTAGAGACGGATGACCTGGAAGTACCTCCGCAAGGTCCTTCTGATGTACCTCAAGGTTGGGTCCTCTGTTGCCAGAACGGATTCTTCTCCACTAGTGTCCTGCCCCAGGCAGATCTCCGTGACTTCCAGCTGCTGATGGAGTGCAGTGTGAAGCTGGTCCAGAAGTGTTCTGCTCCAAGCAGCAGAGGCACGCTCTGTGTGGAAGAGGCTGAGGATCTGCTGCAGCGTCTCATGGAGGACAGATGCGGCCTGGGCCTTCTGGAGCTGGTTGCCAGTCCCCATCTCCTGGGGGAATCGGAAGTCCCTTCTGTCTTTCAGACACAACACAGTGGACAGCCTCCTCATCTGGTCCAACAGCACAAGGGTCTTCTTGCTAAGCAGGATGGAGTTCTGAGGAAGATCGCAGCCCACAGATCCAGCAGGCCCATAGCAGCCCAGCACCAGGGCAGTCAGCAGAGGGAGCAGGAGGGCCATGGGGCAATGAGGATGCTGCTGGCCTGGACAAGCTGGCTTTGGCTGAACCTTGGATCGGAGCATCTGTGAAGATACTCTGGCTATACGTGGCTTTTAAATAGGGAGCACAATTTTCATTTTCTCAATATTCTGTTGCACTTTCACTTCCCTCTTTGGTTTGCAATTGTTTTTTCTCTGTATGACCTAAGATGACATTAGGTGAAGGTAGAAATTTTGTAATAAAAAGTGAATTTTCCTAGTAAATTGCAACTATCCCAATCCAAATAGGTTTGCAAATTTATCAAATGACAGGAAGCACCTGTTGTCTACAGACAGAAGTTTGTGTATGTATATGAACATGCATCCACAGGTACACACCATATTTTATGTACAACTATTGCTCTTTTTTGTTCTCAGAACATGACTACAACATTGATCCTACCAGGTATCTTTTCCCTCCTTACTTCACACAGAAAATTAGGCCCCCATAGCTTTATGGGTATCTATGTTTGTCTAGGGATTCTCCACTCCTGGTGTATAAAGTTTCTAAAATGAAGAAAGCAGAGTAGTTCCCTGTTTTTGTCACAACCAAGGCTGACGAGTATTGATAATTAAGTGTCTCTGGTGTTTATCTCCTACCAGAATACATTCATGCAGGGCCATATGGTTGTGCTTCGTGGGAGCCACAACATCAAGATTACTGTAGACATCACCCTCTCTTTCTACCATGTCCTTACTGAGGTCTGCAGAGGTCTTCAAACTGTAACTCCAGCCTGAATCTTGGTTCTTTCTGATGTATATGTCTGTATGGATTCTAATTATGCACTAAAATAATAGTATTTTATTATGTTAATGTTATATTTAACGTTAAAATAATGTTACTTCCCCAGTAGTAACTCACTCAAAGTTGGTTCTCACATCTGGTAACACCTGCTCTAGGGAACAAACTATCCTTGGCCCACACTCATTGTATGCCCTCTGCGATGGGTTCACCATATCCTGACGACTTTACTGTTTCCCTACTGAGTAACAAATTGTTTCTTTCTGACAGAGTGAAACCTCCTTCCTTCCCTTTCTCCCTAGAGTGTTGGAATGTAGGACCCTAGCGCTCAGCGGTGACCTCCTAGTCACTTGGTCCATTGTTCCCAGTCCACAGAGGCTGACTGCAAAAGTGTGCTTTGTCTGAGAAAGTGAGGTTATGAAATTACAATAGTTTTTATCTTCAGTGATCACATAAGACTATTTTGCCAAGTACAGCTTTCAGTGTTCAGATCTCTCAAGTAAACAGTTGAATGATATGATCCTTGAAGTTTCTGAGCTGAGGACAGGAGATTCATGTATGACATCAGCTTCCATTAGAAGACGAGTACTGCTGAAACTAGAAACTTTCGGCTGTTCATTTACTCAGCGTGGTTCCATTTGTTTGGTTTGTTTTTCTTTCTGTGACTCATTTTGAAAATGGAAGGTGGGGATCCCCATCCCCTTTTGTGAGAGAGTAACAGTTGTCTTTCATTTAGCCATTCATGATTTTTCATTTTGGAATTAAGTGGAATCCAAAATATGATTTATCTTTTATACAGAGGTTCACTGGCTTGTACAGAGGTTTATTGCTGTTGTCTATTACTTTCTGCCACATCCTCAGCTTAATAGAAACTAAAGCTTAATATAAGCTAAAGGAAAAGGAGGTGCACCAAATTTTTCCTATAGTTCTTAAGGTATATGGGTTTTTGATTTCTCACTTCAACTTTCCTAGAAAGCAAAACTCCAGAGTCATTTGCAGGGAAAATGAAAGCAAATGTATCTCCAAATGCCATGAAAGTGAAAAATGGGACGTGATTTCCCCTAACTAATGTTAACATGTTAAAAATCAGGGACTAAGAGCTATAGCACAGATAAAGAATGAAGGCCAGCGCTGAAGTAGACAGAGGCAGGAAGATTATGGCTTCTGCAGGGATTGGAAGAAGAGCAAGCTCATGTCACTGATCTGCTCTCATATTTGTAAGACCACCCACACACACAGCTCTTCTCTCATATTCAGATATGATGATCTTTTAGGAGAGAAAAGAGGATGAATTCATCCATACACCTCCCCACAGATGCCGTCAGACTGCAGTCACAGAAGCACTTTTTCTCTGCCTAAATAGTGGATGTTAACCTTTCCTGCACTCACCACCTAGTTACTAATCCACTAGGATTGCCTTGACAATTCTAGCATGAGAAGAAAGTGTAGTAGACGATCCTAAAATACTCTATTCTGAATCTTGAAAAGAATAACATTTTGGAAAATGATAACACAGAAACTTAGTGCATGGTAAGTACAGGTCATCCGCTGGGCTAAAACATTTGAATCTAAGCTGGTCACAGTGGCAACACCATGGAGTAAACCCAGCACTTTGGGAGGCCGTGTTAGGAACATTGCAATGTGAAATTCAGCCCAGGCAACACAGTGACTTCGTGAGGTCCTGCTTTAAACGAAAAACTTCAAAAAGAGGTGAGGATATAGCTCTATGTGAAGGCTTTGAGTTTTTCCCAAGTACCAAAAAAGAAAGAAATTGTTAGCTCAATCCCCTCAGCACTATTTGTAGGACACTTATCTGTACAACTCCTTGGAGAGAAATAACTGTGGAGAGAGACCAAACATCCAATGTCGATACCTTAGGGGAAATTGAGACAAATGACTTAGGAACTCAGATTCCTTGTCACTTCGAACTTCATGCTGTATTGGTTTCATGCTGTGGCTTTTCCTTGGTGAAGAAATTCCATAACCATTGCTATTCTTCACTTCCTTCAGTGGGTCTAAAGTCATTTTCTCAATTTCCCACATGCATATTACTAATAGTTGTTCTGCAAGAAAAGTTTTGGCCAGTTATTGCTAAATGTCCTCCATTCTTTGCTGATTATGTTTTTGTTGGAGTATTTCTTTCATATGAATTGTTTTTAAAGGAAGCTGCACAGTGATCAGAAGTAAAGATATTTTTGGATAGACTGCAATGACCCCATGAATAATTTTCCCTGTACTCTCTCCCGCTTCCCCATGGAGTAACCATGGATGCCAAAGTACTTCCAACACTCTGCAGGCTGTTGCAGTGTCAGTGTCATTATGCTGGGGTTGCCAGTGTTGTCCATGTCTCTGTCAGACATCTCAGTCCATCCTCTTCAGTATTTCCCCTTCTTCTGGGAGACAAATCCAAGGATTCTGATTCTAGAATTTGGATTTTTTTGGTTTTCTTGCTTTTGTTTTTTTTCCTCAATAATGGGGAATGAAGCCACTAATCTACTCCCCAGCCTTTTAACTGTAATTTTGTTTTAATTTATTACAGGATATCACAAAATCACAAAGTTGCCCAAACAAGGCTTGAAATTGTGATTCTCCTGTACCAGGGTCCCAGAGCTCTGGGAATACATGTATGTGCAAATGTGCCTGGTTTAGAATTCATTTCATATAATCTGGCAGAACAACTGGCTCAGTTGATATTGCCCCAAAGATGTTCTTATTCCAGTGCACACATCTAGCATTTGTGTTCTCCTTTCATGTTCTCAAGCTGGCATTGTTAACTTCTTCATGTTGTTTCATGTGCACTTTGATTCTCTGAAGAAACAAGTGTCATGAGCCTGGCCCAGGCTTCTTCTTAGAGGAATCAGAATGTAAAAACCTCTAAATAAAGGAAAACATGAGCTGGATTCTTTAACAGTTCAGTGGGTGCAGACAGGAGCCCAGGACCCACTCTGCTTACTGACCTTCTGTGCCCAGCTGAACATCAGTGGGTCTTGACCATGCAACTCAAGCATCAGCAGACAGGAAAGGTAAGGGTGTCCATGTGTCCACTTTTGGTCCAGAAGCTCTAAAACTTTGGCTGTCTCCAGTTTGTGCTGCATCCCAACCCTGGCCATCTCTTCCTGGGCACCAAGGCTCTGCTCCCTGTCTCTGGTTGCCCCATTTTAAGTGGACTAAATGCCTGTGGGTGGCCCACCTGGGTGGAGTGAGGTCTGGCTTTGAGGGGCCATGGGACATGGGCAGAGAGCTCAGTGCTGTGCTCCTACTGCACCCTCAGTCCTGGAAGCAGCAGCCCAGTCTCTTGGTTCTCCAGTTCTGTTGAATGTATTCCAGATTAATAAATCAAGGATATGAAACAAGACATGGCTGTAGACATTTTAAGGGAAGGTGATAGAATGAAACCAATTCATAGAACTTCTACATATAATATATGTAAAATATAATATGAATATGAAAATTACATGAAAATGGGAATAGCAAGGAAAGGCTGAGAGAAATCATGATATCTGCAAGGTGCCAAGTAATCATAAAGACAGCTGGATTTATCAAAAACTGTCTAGGTTGCCCTGTTCCTATATTAGTTATATCACAGTGGAAGACAGCAAAAAGAGACAAGAGAGAAAATTATTTCACATGTATATTAGAGCCTATTGACCCATTAACCAGAGGGAAGGCACTTAAATGTTGGGTCTCCAACTTCAGGCAAAGGTTGAGGGATCCCAGCTGAAGTGCAGCTTCTTCCTCCTGCTGAGTTGTTCACATTCAATTCCTACTTCATTTTTTTCAATCACAGCATCGTGCAAGTCCCATTAGTACCCCTCACCTCCGAAAATGTGCCAACTGATAACACTTGCATCCTATGGAATTCCTTTTCTTACTTCTGTGCTCCCTGTAAGGACAGGGTCCAAGTGGCACAGGTACAAATGCCACATTCCTCACTCTTGATAGTCAAGGAACCGTATATGACAGCAAGAAGGAACACTCTTTGAGTGAACGCACCACCGCACTAGTGATGTTTTTTCCTGATTTCCCCTGCAGCTCCACACTCAGCAGGGCAGCCTCTTCTGCCTCCCTTTTCGTACCCTACAGAACGCAGAGGCAGGGCTGGGCCAGAAGCACTGAACATCTGAGCAGCCTATACAGACAAGGCACACATGCAGTCTTTTCTCTCCCCACACAGCTGTCCACTGCCCAAAGACAATAGAACCCGTTGGATGCTGGGAAGATTTTGTATCCCTAAGATGGAAAAGACATCTTAAGATACTTGTTCTCGTCCTTTCCAGGAAAGAGATTTTGATAACTTTGACAGAAGGAAGAGGAGAACGAGGAAGCTGAGGGGGTTAGGGGGAGGAGGAGAAAGAAACGGGAAAAGAAGGGGGAGGGAATGAGGAGAGGGAGGGAGGGAGAGGAGAAAAAGAAACAAAAATAAAACTTGCAGGAAAGAGATGCAGCGATGTGAAAAAAAGAGTCATCCACAGATCGGATGCTTTCTTACGAGAACTGGCCAGCAGGAGGCGCGCACCTTTTATAAATCTTAGCACTCAGCCCTGAATGAATTCTGCTGTTTCTTAGCTACAGCTAATGTGTTACATCATTGTAGAGGGATAGTCCCTCACTTCCAAAAATACCCATCAGAAGAAAGAATCTTCTTATATAAGAATTTCTTCCTCTGCTATTTCGTAAATGGATGTATGTTTATTACTATGCTTTTCCTATAACAACCACTGAGAATAGTCAATAATTATTCAATTGGTCACTCATGTATAGCTCTATTTATTTTCTTTAGAAACCACTTTGAAGATACCAAAGTATAGTACAACAACTCTTGATAATCTCCTACCTCTTTGGTCTGTAACTCACTATTATTTGTCTATTTGTTTTCTGAGAATTTATCTTGTAGATAACAATATGTAAAAAAAACAACCATTGATAATTTCCTACCACTCTGTAATTCGGTAAGTCCCCCTATTACTATGTTATCCTTATTTTACTCTTTAAAATAGTAATAAAAAACTGATTTCTAGCAAACAGAAATTTCTCTCAACTTTTGCTTTTAATTGCAGCCTTTGTTCTCTTAATGGTAAATTGATGGCCAGACCACAAGGGAAAACACCTCCATGAATATGCAGGGAAGTACTGCGTATGAGGATAGTACTGTGGAGGTTTCTGGATGGAGGAGAAGGTGATTACTGTGATGTTCTATTGAAAACAGGCATGGGTCAAGGATTTAGCTCAGCAGCACAGCACCTGCTCGGCATGCACGAGGCCTTTAGCTCGATTCCTGGTACCAAAAAAGAAAATAGTAAAACAAACAAACAAAAAAAAGACAAAAAAAAACCCTTATAAAAAATCATGACCAGGAAAACTAAGAAGAAATGTTTTGAAGATAAATGATACAGTGTATTAACTATTGTTATTCTTTTATCATTTGGTTATGAAATTTTGTTTTATTTTTTGATAAAATTAAAAACAGTGTGCCAGATATATATAACTTCAGTTTAGGAGTGTATCACCTTCAAATATGTCTAAATGCTAACATTTCCTGACTGAATGAACAAGTCCAATTTATCTTCCATGTGAAGGAAGATAAATTTATCTTCCATGTGAATTCTTCAGTCTCCACCAGAGCTCTTCCTAGAATTCTTTTATATTTTTAATTCGCATATTTTTCCGATAGCTACAGAGAAAAATACATAGATAGATTACTGCACTTATGGTAACCATAATGTTTTGAAACAGCAGCCTTTTTGAGGCATCAAGGGAAATCTCCATGCAGTGGTAGGATTTCTGCATAAATCAGAAATTTGCCCCAGTCTTGGTCCCTGTCTTGTCACACTTGTCCACCAAAGATCTATTTTCTTTGAGAGATTTTTCTTCACCCTGTAAGATGGGATTCTGCTTTCTGTTTGTTTTAGTTAAAGCTACTATTGCATCACATACAGTGGAAATTAACAATAATCTCTCTAGCAGATGTTTCTGCAAAATCTACATGTCTTGTTCAACTTCTTTATTTTGGTGTGCTGCTTGTTAGGGAAACCACTGAGCAGAAACCACAAGGCACCAGAAAGTTGCTGTGTGAATAGTCTGTAAATGAAGGGAGAGAATGACAAGGGCTCCAGAACTTCTGCCTTGGAGAGGAAGAAAACTGTGCGGGAACGTGTCCAGGAGAGTTAAGGGCAAGGGAATCAGTAAGTAAACATCACCCGTTTTCTGCGCTTCCATGTAGATGTTTATTCACAACTTCGGACATTTATACAAGCCATCATCTCCTGATCAAATATAAACAGGACATTTTTAAAATGAATGACATTTTTCAACCTTTTGAGTATTCATGACAAATGCTGGTTTTTTTATTTAAAAAATTAAAAAACTAACAAAACAACAATGAAGACAAAATCAAGACAACACAAAAACAACAAAAATAATACATGACCTCAAAACAAAATGATAGGAATTTACAATGGTTAATTAACAATGGTTAATGGCTACATTACATACTGTTATCTTCAACGATGTTGGCTCAGTCCACCAGACATAACAATGTAAGACTGATCAAACAATCAAAGACAGTAACAAGTAATAAAAAAAAAATTGGAAATGATGCAGAGCTTCAACACCACAAGATGGTAGGAGTTCAAGAATGGTTTTATCTGCATATTGTTGTTTTCAGATCAGTCATTCTTATTACCAGACCCAAGCATGCAAAATTGGTCAAGAAAAAAGAAAATTGTAAGCATTAACTGTTTCTTTCAATAAACCACAGACATCAGCAATACACCTATCCCAGCTGTCCTTGTATATACATATAAATTTTGTTTTTCATTTTAAGGGAAAAGAAAAAAAAACCCAAAACAACAAAAACAAGCATGTAAACAAGACAGCATAAAGAACAATAAAAATGATACAGAATTTCAAAACACAGTGATAGGATATTAACAATGGTTGTCATATTACATAATACCATCTTCAAAATGGTTGCACATAAAACCAGATATGGGCATGCAAGATCGATCAAACAATTGCACATTAACAGTCTCATTCAATAAACCAACAGATATTAGTAGTACAATTACCTTAGCTATCCTGTATATCTCTATACATATTTTTCTCTTTTCCCTTCTTTCTTTTTCCTCTGCCCTCCTTCATCCCAGTTGCTCCTTCCTATTTGAGCAACTTCTTTTCCTTATACCTTTCAGTATCTATGGTACCTTTCAGATTTTATTTATTCTTTCAGGTTCTTATTGTAGGGAGGAAATGTGATGTTTACATATGTGAATCTGATTTATTTCACTAATGAGTATGGTCTCTAGTTGCATCCATTTACCTACAAAAGCCTCTAGTTTATCTTGCTTTATAGTTGAGTAATACTCCATTGTATAAAAATACCACAACTTTTTTATCCATTCCTCAGTTGATGAACATTTGGGTTGTTTCCAATATCTAACTATTACAAATTGTGCTGCAAGAAACATGGGTGCACATGTATTGCTGTGGTGTAATGTTTTCAGTTCTTCTGGAAAAATACCAGGGGGCAATAGCTGGGTTGAATGGGATCTCTAATCCTAGTTTACTGAGGAATCTCCAGACTGATTTCCACAGGGGGTGCACCAGTCTACACTCTCACCAACAGTGAAGAAGTGTTCCTTTTTCCCCACAGCCCCTCCAGCATTTTTTATGAGTTGATTTCTTGATGATAGCCATTTTTTGTGGAGTGAGTTGAAATCTCAGTGTTGTTTTAATTTGCATTTCTTGAATGACTGATGATGCTGAACATTTTTTTCATGTATTTATTTGCCATTTGTACTTCTTCATGTGAGAAATGCATATTCATCTCAGATGCCCATTTTTGGATTGGGTCTTTGAATTTTGGGTACCTGATTTTTAAAAAATTCTTTATATGTTCTAGAAAGGGTCCTTTGTCTGAGGGACAGTCAGCTAAAATTTATTCCCACCTCGTGGGTTTTCTTTTCACCCAGATGATGATTTCTTTTGATTTGCAAAAACTTTTCAATAGGATCACATCCCAGTTGTTGATTCTTTGAAGTATTTCCTATGCATTTTGGTTTGGGTTCATGAACTCTCTACCTACCCCTATGTCTTCAAGACTTCCACCTACTTTCTATTCTATTAGATCTAGTGTTTCTGTTTTAATATTTAGATTATTTAGATCGTTAAGCCATTTTGCCTTCATTTTGGTGCATGGTGATAGACTTAGGTCTAGTTTTAGTTTTCAGCATGTGGAAAGCTAGTTTTTCCAGCACCATTTATTAAAGAGGCTACCTTTCTTCCAGTGAATGTTTGGCCCCTTTGTCAAAGATAAGGTGGCTGCTTGTCTTTGTGGTTGTGTCTGCCTCTTCTACTCTGCTCCATTGATCTTCAGGTTTGTTTTCTTGCCAATACCATGCTGATTTTATCACAGTAGCTTTGTACTATAATTTCAAGTCATGGATTTTGATGCCTCCTGCGTTGCCTTTGTTTCCCAGCATTACTTTTGCTATTCTGGGTCTCTTCTGGTTCCAGACGAATTTTAGGAATGTTTTCTCTAAATTTGTGAGGTATACAAATGGTATTTTCATTGGAATTTCATTGACTCTGTATAACAATTTTGGGAGTATGGTCATTTTCACAATATTGGTTTTTCCTATCTATGAGCAAGGAATATCTCTCCACTTTTTGAAATCCTCTTCAATCTTTTTTTCAGAGTACTGTAATTTTCACTGTATAGTTCTTTTACTTCTTTTGTTAGATTAATTCCTAAGTATTTCAGTTTTTTGGATGCTATTGTGAAAGGTATGGTTTCCCTTATTTCTCTCTCAGTCTGTTATTTGTGTATAGGAAGCTATTGATTTATGAGTGTTGACTTTGTATCCAGCTATGCTACTGAATTTGTTGCTTAAATCTAGGAGTTTTTTGGTGGTGTTTTGGGTGTCTTCTATGTAGAGTATCACGTCATCTGAAAATAAAGATAATTTCACTTCTTCATTTCCTATCTTTATTCCTTTTATTTCTCTCTTGTCTAATTGCTCTGGCTAGTGTCTCCAGAACTAAGCTGAATAGGAGTGGTGTCAGTGGACATCCTTGTCTATTGTTCCTGATTTTAAATGAATGCTTTCAATTTTTGACCATTTACTATGATGGTGGCTTTTGGTTTCTCATAGGTGTCTTCTATCAGATTGAGGTAAGTCCATCTATTCTGATTTTCTGTAGGGTTTTTATCTTGAATAATGTTGAACTTTATCAAAAGCTTTTTCTTCATCTATTGAGTTGATCATGTGATTTTTGTCTTTAGCTATGTTAATACAATGTATTACATTGATTGATTTTCATATA